TCCCACAAACACACCCATAGCATCTCCCCTTTTCCTGCTTCCTTCTCTGATTCTTTTTCTCCAACCAACCTACCTTTGGAGACTTAAAGCAGCTTATATCATTGTATCACCTCCACTGTGTCTCCTACAAGTCTCCTGGTGGTTGTTGCCAGGCCTGGTCCCTTGAGTCTTCCCTCAAAAGCCAAAAAAGCCCTGAAAATGCCCCTTGCCTTTTACTAACAGCAACTAAGGCTAGAAATTCTGTTGTGGTTGCCTATCAACAGCCATTGCGAGCATTTGTTTCTGAAAGCTATGGTGCTGTTTCTATTATTTTGTGGGGTTTTGACCCTCCAGTGTATTTTTTATAGATTTCAGATTTTTCTACAAACCTGGGGGTTTTCTCAGGTTTGTCAAAAGATTGGTCTTGTCTGTTCATGGCTCCAGTCTCCAAATTTAAGCACACATAGATGGGGCCATGCTGAGAATTAGATAATGATGATGATATGTAGTTACAAGTAGCAATGCCAGTAGCGCTTGAAAAATGACTGCACTTTGAAATCAGTCCCCTTTAAGTAGTGTTTTGCTTGAGGATAAGAAAAGCCCACTGATTATTGTTACTACACACACATTTCTTTGTTAAGTTCTCCAATTAATCAACCAGCAGTCAACAATTTTCCAATAGGATCCACACATTTTCCTCCTGATTCAAGTTAGAAAACAAACCATATATGAAAATGTGAAAAATGGAAATGCAAAACAAAAAGAAACAAGAAACAGTGTATGCTAATTTACAATGATCTGAAAAGGAACCTACCAGTAGTTCACTGAGTTGTTCATAATCAAACATTTCATTTTCGTACTGTTCGGCAAGTTCTTTGCCCAAGGCAATGGCTTCTTCCCACATCTGTTAAAATACAACTGAACTTCAGTCAAAAAATTACATTTTAGGGAGAAAAAGTCTTTATTTTTAAAAACAATCACCAACTCTAGAAATATATTTATATTGCAAACAGAAGAAAGTAATTGTGTGTATATTGCAACAAAGCAAATATTATGTAATAGGCCTTCCACATATTTTATTTTTTATTATAGCTCCTCTTCAGACCTTTAAAAGTTAGCTACTGGTTTCATAAACTCAAAATTTATTCCAAGAAATCTTAAGAATGGAAATCTGCTTTGGTAATCTCTAACAACCCCTTCCTCCCCAAGAAAATCAATAATCTACAATATACCATCTTTTTAGGTAGGGAGAAGCTGACATTATTTTGCACATTCAGCTTGCCTCTTCTTCACTGCAGCTGTTAATAAATCTTTTGTTTCTTATGTGTACATATAATTCTACGTCATTTACACACCTCTACACAAAACATATGCAAAAAAATGAAAAAAAGTACATATATATGAGAATATCTAGAGAGAGAAAGAGAGAGAGAGAGAGAGAGAGAGAGAGAAGCTAGCAAAACAATAAAGACTTGCAGGTTTGTTTTTGCCAATGGAGAAGCAAAATGAAAACCAAAGAGAATCAAATCAGGTGTCTTTCACAATGTGGTTTCACTCCTATTTTTCAGGTGTTTATTTAATATCCTGTCTTTTTTTTCTTAAATGAACCTCCAAGATAGTAGGGCTAGGGAGGCTACTTAGAAACATTCAAAATAAGATGTAACTGGAGTGGTGGTGATGGTAAGATGCCAGAACACTAGAGGACAGAGGGTGAATGGCTGTCTGCCCTGTAGGTGACACCTTGTATATGTACAGACGTTATATATATGATGCCTCAATTCCATACATTAGAAATACACACATAGCAAGAGTACCTAAGCATAATCTAAATAATATGGTACAACAGCCTAATTTTTCCAGAGTACCAGCAGCCACTGGTGGCTCCCCTCAACGGTGTGGTTACCATGTAACTACGGTTTTTACACATTTTAAAAATTACACTGGTGTATTCATATTTCTAACACCAGTTTTAGTCAGTTGTAGTGAAAATGGTACAAAGGAACTTGAAGTGGCACAAAGGAAGCAACGTAAGTTAAAGTAAATGCCTTCCATATGCAGCAAGCTACTTGTCTCTTCCATGCACCAACTGTGTCCCAGGCCTTTTGTGTGAAACAGAGCACATAAAAACATAAGAGCTTTGCCAGATCAGACCAGTAGTCTGATCTCGTCCTGCATTCTCTTCCACACAACTGCCAACCAGTTGTCATGGAGGGCCAACAAACAATTTCATAACATCAGCATTTAAAGGTTTGCTGCCTCTGAATATGGAAGTTCCCTAGCACCTGATGACAGGACGGCCAAATTTGCATGATTCTATCCTCCCCCCCCTTTTTGGTGAAATCTTATAAACTAGCTTCCTAGTTGATCAGCCAATTATTTGATAGGTCCAATTTATGTCAAAAGCATAAGTGGGCTGGAGGTAGAGTTGCCAGCTCCAGGTTGGGAAATACTTGGGAGTTTTGGGGGGTGCAGCCTGAGGAGGGTGGGGTTTGGGGAGGGGAGGGGTATAATGCCATAGTGGCCATTTTCTCCAGATGAACTGATCTCTGTCACCTGGAGATTAGCTGTAATAGTGGGAAATCTCCAGCCACTGCCTGGAGGTTGACAACCCTATCTGGAGGCTTCTGTGGTGCTACCATACTAGTGCAGAACAAACCCTAGAAGAGATGGCTGTCTATCTCCAAAAGTGGTAATGGTCAGTAATATGCTAATGCTCAGACTATAACCCATAAGAGATACGAATATCAACTGCTGCCACAGAAAGGGATCAGGGTACACACTGTGATTACTAGGCTACTGCTCAGCTGTCCATGGCTTGTATTTGCTCTGCATGCAGAGTGTCTCGTGTTCAGTCCCCAGCATCTCAATTTAAAAGGATCTCCGTTATCAGGGCTGGAGAAAAAACACTTTCCCTGGAAACCTTGGAGAGCTGCTTCCAGTGATATCAGATGATACTGGACATCATAGTATGTTCACAGGTCCAAACTGCTGGAGGCTGGGAGTTGAGATATTTTATTTGTTCCTTTTGCTGCTATATGTTCCCTTTATTATATAGCTCCACTTCAGCAGATTCATAACACTTTGAACAAGCCTTTTGCCTGTTTCAGTTCAACTCTTCATAACTTTACTTTGCATCAGACAACAAGTTTTATTTCATATGTCCACAGCTGATAAGCAATAGCATTTTGAACAGATTAAAATGTTGATGCAAAGAAAGGAATGTTTTGTTGTTGTTGTTGTTGTTGTTCCAGAGTTGTGAATTTAAAGACAGTGAATACAGAGGAGAGAGCAACCCAGTGTAATCCCTGCACTGTTTCTTCACCATGCTTCAAAACACAAACAGGACCAGAGTTATATATTTTGAAAATGTATTTGTCACCTTTGTACTAAAAAATAGTTGAAGCAGCCAACTGCAATCCATCAGTAAAACTAGAACTCAAAATGATAAAATATTTCATAGTAGCATCTTAAAAGTCTTTAGCGCAAGACCGATCAAACTAATCAATTAATATGAAAGCCTCCCCCACCGCAGAGTACAAGTCTTCCAATTGTTCTTGAAGGACAAAACAAAATATATCAACTGTATCCCTAGGGAGAAAGAGCTAATCAAACTACAGGCAACAACTCTGTCATCATGGATATCCACTAATCTGACATTTGATAACAAGGGCTCCTAGACCATTGGCTGACTTTAGATTCCAAACAGAGTCACATGTGAGGAGTTAGTCCATTAGGTACTTAGGACCCAAGCCATTTAGGCCTTTAAAAATAAAAACCAAAACATAAACAAACAAATACAAAGCAGAGTAATAAACTAGGCCTGGAAACAAATTGAAACTGGGGACAGTTGATGGAGCATCGGCGTTATATTTTTAGCATGACAGGTTCTTGTCAAATGCCTAGCTGCTGTGTTTTTGGACAAAGTGAAGTTTTTGGTCTGAAAACAAAGGAGAATTCATAAAGCTACCTCACCTTCAAAACTATCCCCTCTAGGATTCTGTGAGCTCTCAGTGCCTTAAGTAGTTCATCCTCCTAACGGAACCAGTTGCTCTCAATGTTTTGTACCACCTGAAGCATTGCATAGCTATTATATTGATAATTAGGTGTTATCATTCACTGGTCTGTTAAAGTCATATTTTTCTGTGTATTGGAGTCCCCCCATGTATATGAGGTGCCTACCTTGCCTGTGGGTTGTCCAGTTTTGCTGCTTTTGTGATTGGAATAACGTCTGCCACTTTGAATTTATTTATTTATTTCAATTGAAAGCATTTCTCTGCTGCCTTTTGAACTAACTCAGGTGGTGCGATTGCACACAATGCAGTTTCTACACAGCTGGTCAGGGATACTTTTTTTTTTTTAATATGGAACCAGGCACAAAATGCACAACACCAAAAAAAAATGTGCTTGACCAAAATATTGTTTGTGCAGTTCAAAAACAGAAGTCATGCAACGGTATGGTATGTATGTTTGGTAGTACAATACAGAGGCTGCGGTCACACAGAGCATTAGCCATGCTACAGAGACGGAAGATAGGCGGATTTTCCAGACGCGATCACACCGCAACATCTGGGACGCGAAGAGCTCCCGTGGCTAACCCGAGGTTTCCTGCCGAAGATGCGGCATAAAAAACTAGTACCTCAGAGGTACTAGTTTCCGGAAACTGCGGGGCAAGGGCGAGCATCGCATCGTGTATCCGGTGGTAGTTCTGGCGCCTGCCCATGTCCCGTCGCAAAAAGGGGTTTTGCCCCAAGTCTTCACGGGATGCACACAAGCACCCAACGGCGCATGCGCACACTTCGGTTTACAAAAAAAACAACCCTGTTTGCCACGGCAGCGGCGCCTAGCCATTGCTGCTGTGATTGCGCCACGCTGCTTCTTTTCCACGCCGCAGGATTGTCGTGTGATCAGCACCTCCCCCGAACCACGGGACGTGGCTGGGATGTGTGATCCGGCGGCCACGCATTAGTTTGCTCTGGGGCAAACAGCCACGCTTCCCCCCCGCATTTTCCGGCCCGTGTGACCGGGGCCAGCGTATGGTAGCTGATACAAAGTGAAAGGTAAAGTGAATATTCTTTGCTGTAGAACCCCAGATGCTTCTCCTCCCTCTGCTGCGAAGATTGTCCCCCTGCAGAAGCTACTGGTACTTTCCACAGAGTTCATCAATGATTCCACAGAGTTCATCAATGATTCAAAGATTACAGAAATCTCCTAGCACATGGGGACCTTTTCCTTGACAAATTATATGAATCTGTCAATATTCTGGTAAGGGTGGAGATGCCAGAAAATATCCAGTATGACATTCTAAATAAAACTTTATTGGGGCAAAGCTATCTAAATGAAACATTTCTGTATGTTTTCTTTTCTATGTTTCTTAGGTTTTTTTACATCCTTCTCTCCAAATAAAGTTTTGCTTGAGTTCATGATACTTTTAACGTGTAGCTTCATGTAACACCATTTGACATCAGTGCTTCATATTCCCAGTTCTGAGGACTTTCCTCCCACTGTAGACAGATTTCTAAATGCCATGGAATGTGACTGTAAGCAACAATGCATATGCACACTTGCAAGGATAATGCACGGGTGTGTTGTAGCAGCAAATGCTACACATATGAATTACATCATTGTGGAATACCAGATTCTCCTTTTAAAAAACTTCTGTGTCTACACAGGAGATCTCCAAGAATTAAATGTAAATCACTCCAAATGATTTGAGGAGCAGCAGGGTTCATGTTTAATCAATTAATTAATACGTTCTAGCATTGGCAAGTTTTTACTACCAATCATTAAAGAAAAAAGGTACTCAATGAAGTCCTGTGAAATCTCTGGAAATGTTTCCTGTGATTACCACAGTAGATTTATTTGAGAAAGGGCTGGTGGACTGTCACAAGAGCCTCTGATAACCGA